TCACTTCTCTCTTCCTGGAGAACATCTTGCCAGCGTGGTGTAAAGCGAAGTGGTCTCGCTTCGAGGTACCTCGTGTATGTCTGTGTAGATACAGCTCTCCAATAAACCTATGTGAAGTTCTGTTGTGCAGAGCAGTGATACTCTGAGGACTTACTTAGTGTCAGCTGACTGTCCTGGTAAGGAGCTGTTGGATCCTTTTGGAGCTTAGATGTCTCTGCATCCAGGTAATCCCTACTTTATTAACCTAAGACAATCGTCTGCCTTTAGGCACCAGCATTGGCCTGATGGTGGGTGGAGAGAGTCTGCAGGAGGGTGTGAGCCTTCCCTTATCATCAGGGTTTTCCACTGGTCGGAATATGGAGGGAGAAACACTGATCTACGTGTACCAGACTACCACTTCTGGAGTTGAGTCTTGGCACTGAACCACCCTTCATCAGAATGTAGGGGTTTGAGCAACACCTGGCCTGGCAGCTGTGGGTGTTGGAGACAGCACAGCAGCTCCTCTGCTGCTCTACCTCCCCACAAAGGGCCGAGATGTGCCTCAGCCCTTCCTTCAGCCTGGATCTCATCAGCTCCTGAGCCTGCCAGCTGCCTGGCACCTGCTGGGTTGGTCTGTGCTCTTGCTCCTGTAAGGAAATGCTGCAACTGCTCACTGGGCCCTCGGGCTGCACCAGTGCACACACGGCCGGGCTGCTGCTGCTCCCGGCTGTTGTCAGCAGTGCAGCGCTCCCGTGGAGACTGTTCACCTCTTCCCTGATGTGAAGCCACGGGGGCTCGGCGGAGATGGCGTCACAGCGGTGCCTCCTGCCAGAATGTGCTGGAAGCTTCCGTGGCTCCAAGCTGGACCTGCCTCTGGCCAAGGCTGAGACAATTAGTGCCTCTGTGATTAACAGTGGGGGAGAACAAAGGGAACTGCAGCAGAGAGGAGTGAGGTGTGAGAGACACACCCAGGTCAGTGGCGAGGAGGTGAGCGGAGCAGAGGTCCCCCTGCAGCCTGTGGTGAGAGGGCAGGCTGTGCCCTGCAGCCATGGGGGGTCACGGGGAGCAGAGACCCCCCTGCAGCCTGGGGAGGGCCCCACACCGGAGCAGGGGGATGTGCCAGAGGGAGGTCTTGACTCCATAGGAAGCCCAGGCTGGAGCAGGCTGCTCCTGAAGGATGGCACCCCATGGGAGGGACCCACGCTGGAGCAGTTTGTGAAGAACTGCAGCCCATGGGAAGGACCCACGCTGGAGTTGGTGGAGGACTGTCTCCCCATGCTGGAGCAGGGGCAGAGTGTGAGGAGTCTTCCCCTGAGGAGGAAGGAGCAGCAGACAAGGTGTGATGGACTGATCACAACCCCCCTTCCCCGTCCCCCTTGCCCTGGCTGGTAGAGAGAGAAATGGGGAGCAAAGCTGAGCCTGGGAAGAAGGGAGGGGGGGGGGAAGGGGTGTTTAAGATCTAGTTTTCTCTCTTATGGCCCAAATCTGATTTGATTGGCAACTAATTAAACTGATTTTTCTTCCAAGTTGAGCCTGTTGAGACCATGAGCAGTGAGTGATCCCTTCCCTGTCCTTGTCTTGACCCACATGTATTTTTTCCCTCCCTATCAGGCTGGGGGGAGGAGGGAGTGACAATGCTCAGGTTCTTGGTTCTGTTGCTTCCTTAGTGTTTTTATTGTCGGAACCGAGAGCGGGAGGGGAGTGACGCAGCTCTCCATAGCTAACACCCGGCCTGTGAATTAAGGGGAGATCACACCTTCCCTGTGCTCTCCTGAGGTCAGGGTGTACTGAGCTGTACACGTGTGGACTTGACTCCTGCTCCTGCTGTGCGCTTAGGAGCTGCACTGTTGGAAGCTCCCACAGCGTTGGGAGCTGCTGTCGTGCTGTACTTCATGGGTGGAGGTTGAAACCTGTCTGAGTGACCGGCAGCTTCCACCAGCTGTCTGCAGCTCTAGGTGCAGGATGGAGGGATAGGTGTGCAAAACCAGCCCAGCTGGAGCTGGCTCACAGCTCCGTGTATCTCCAGGATAGGCTTGTCCCACAAGGCTTAATGGTGTAACTGCTTTTTCTTCCTGGCTGGGATTTCCCCGGCCAAAGCTGCTGCACCTTGTCCTGCTCTCCTGTGACCGAGGTGGAGTCACACAGCGATGGAGCAAGAAGGCAGGTTAAGGCCCATGCATCCACATGGAACGCACCAGGAGCTGGAAGAGGGTGCTGTTCCCTCACAGCCAGAACCGGCTGATGACTAAGTTCCTCTTGGCTTAGCTCAGGCAATGGGATACCGCTGTCCTGGGATGCCCTTCCTCAGTTTGCAGGGCTGCTAAGGTGAACTTCTTCCTGCTTGCGGAGGAAGCAGCAGCGCATCAGACTTCTCCAGCTGAAGCAAGCAGCTCAGTGAGAACTGCTGCAGCAGCAGAAGGGAGCCAGAACAGCTGGAAGATACTGCATGTATCCAGAGAGATCCAAGCACTGCAGCTCAGAACATGGGAACAGCTCCTGAGCTCCCTGCAGCACTGACCACCTCCAGATTCAGCATCATGGACGCTCATCCCTCACATGTGTGGAATTTAGGTGACCTGTACTGGCCTCCCAGCATTCTCCTAGTAGGAAATTTACATGCTGTAAGGGCATCCTGGTAACTAACAACCTGGAAACTTGGAAGCTAAGCCAAACCTTATTATTAGGACTGACAAACCAACAGGCCAAGGGCTTTATTTTCCCCTGCAGTTGTTTCACAGCCCCTCGTTAGAGCTGGACTTCCCCTTCAGCTCTGAGGGCTCAGACCCTCCGGGATTACAAAAAGCCTTTGACTTCACATCCGGAGGGGTGGCAACACCCACTTCAACCCCGCTTCGCTGCTCAGCTGGAGGAGCTGGTGAAGTGCTGTCACACCAACAAGAGCCAGGTTAATCAAATCACACTTTATTCCCATGAATTCCTCTATCAACATCATGGAAGTTGTCAGCTGAACAACTGACAGTGTGTACAGCTTCAGCAGCTGTGAAAAACTGCTGCTTTACATCAGCTTCAAAGGGTAAACCCTGAAAATGCATGTCTAGTTCAGGTCTAAATATCCTGCTTCTCTTGAAGCTTCAACTTGTGTATTAAAAACCACCTCTCTCAGCTTTAAAAAATGAAAGCAGAGACAAACCTAAGAAGTAGATTTACCTATTTCCACTGGTGTGGAGTCAGCCCTCACCTCTGCTATTAGCAATGTGTACAAATAGCTTCTTTTTGGCTGGAGAACTTGGAAAAGAAGGGGAAGTCTCACAACTCTTAAAGCCTCACCCTCCTACCTGAATTATTTAAACATTTGGTACAAACTCCTTTTAAAGTACTGACCATGCACAGCATTGCTGCCCCCAGCAGTGCGGTGCCCAGGGGGGATGCCTCCGCTCTGCCCTGCTTTACCTGCCTTTCTTTGTGGGAGAGGAACGGTTCTCGTGGCACGTGGAGGCTGGGGAAGCGAGAAGAGCGCGTATAATGGCAGCAACCACCCTTCGAAGGCTGCAACAATGCAGGGAGGCAGCCAGTTTCAGTGTACCCAGCTCCACCCCAAGAGGCAGCGGGTACCGAGATGCTTCCATCCATGTCTAAAGCTTTTTCCTGTTTCTGGGATCAGAAAGGGACCCTGTAATGTGCAAAACTGAGTTGTTCCAGCTGTGACTCAGTCACCAACAAACTGTACTTGCTGTAACAAGTCACTGATGTCTGTGTACCTCTGATGACACTGGTGGGTCAGAGCTGCCTCTGCCTTCCCCCAGGGTGGGCTGGAGCAGCAGCCCACCTCCCCCTGCCCCGCTCCAGGCCTGAGCCCCAAAGGATGTTGCCGAGACCAGCTTTGCCTCCTCCCAGGACAGGCAGTAGCTGCTTCTCACAAGGCAGAGCATGCTTGTAGAAAGAACATCCTACTCCAAGGATGAAAGCGGCATCAAGAAGTATGTGTTACCATCTCCTTTTGGGTAACACTGAGTAACTGCGTGTCTAACCAAGTAACATGACCATGCAGGCATGCCCTCAGGCCTGAAGGTGATTCAACCCCAGTCATGTGTGCTCCTTCCACTCAGCTGAGGGGACACAGCACATGGCAGGGCTCCAGCCCCACAGTGCATGTGCTACACCATGGAGACCATGGTGTCAGTTGTCCCCAGGAACTCAGCCCTGGCTTTCTGCTCCTCTTGAGCTTCCTGTCCTTTGAGCACACGGGCTCATTCACACCAAGGTGACCCCAACAGGAGCCAGCACAAAGCTGCAACGGCCTGCTCAGAGCCAGCAGCTATTTCCAGCAGTCTCCCTTACATGAAGTGCTAATTCAGGGGTGCTTAGCATACTCCAGCACTTCTTGAAAGGATTTGGAAGACAATAAAACGCTGCACACTCTTTAAACCTATTTCATCCCAAATGCAGGCACCTCTCAGGCTCAGAGTCATACTAGGACAAGGTAGGGGGTGAAGACTTCCTACTTTCACAAGCCCATTCCCTGGGACAGAGTACCCAAGTCAGACACCAACTGCCACGACCTCAGAAAGTCGCAGAGCGGCAGGAGAAGGGCAGGGGTATGTACAAGTCAGCCACACTCGGCACGATGAGCCAGGACTGCCGCTATTTTGAGTCGGAAACTCATCGGCGACACCTGGGTGAGTTCACCACCGTGGCAGAGATTTTGAAACAGTGATTTGCCTTAAACAAGCCACAGCCTGCTGACCTGTTAAACCCAACACGGCAACGTAAGTCATCTTAGCACCATTACAGGTCAGGAAAACATGTTTATGACATGCAACGTACCTACTGCAGGATCTGCAAGATGGAGACAGTTCTGCTGGTCCAATTCAAGCAGCATGTACACAACTCTAATAAAAATCACCTGAATTTAAAAGACTACAAATCCTAAACTGGAATGGAGTTCCTAAAAATGGGTCACTGATTTGGCCCTGCTCAGACCATGATGTGATCTAGAGGGTTTTGATCATTTACTTCAATGATCCTTAAACAGCCTTTTGTTCTCCATCTGCTGGAAGGTCTCAGTAAGCATCTATTTGTTTCATCATAAGTTTCCGGCTGTACTCGTAGGCAAGGAACAGCGCGCCGTTGGCCAGGAACGCACGGATCATAGTTGGCTTTAGTCCAGAATACAAGGCAAGTACACCTGGAAACGAAAGCAGAGCCAGTTAGCGATTCATTGAATTGCCTGTCTGCATCAACCACCGTGCTTTTACCTTCGAGGGATGCTGAAGTCACGCTCCTGCTTGGAGAGGCACGTGCAGAGCATCAACTCGCTGGCATAGCTGCTAACCACAGCGGTTCTGGGTACTGATACAGGAGTCGTAACACAAGTTCAGCCATTTAAGTGCTTGTGTTAGCTTATCTCAGGCACGACAGAGTCTTCAGCAGGCTGCCTCGGTCCACTGAGGGTACCGTTCACGGCAGCTGTACCACAGCTGGCAACAGCAGGACTGTTGGAGCTGTGCCCCAGCTGAGACTCCTGCTCTTCCCTAGCAAAGGGGCCAGGATGCACATCTCCTGCCATGGAGATTCTTACACCACCTTCTGAAGTGCCTGATGCAGGCCTTTCCCAGGGAAAAGAGGCTGAAGTAGATGCCCCAAACTGCTGGGCTGGACAGGCTTGATTTGTCAAACAGCCCTCAGCCAGCCATGTATTAACTTCTAGAGGTGAAGAAAAATTCTGTACTGAACTTCACCAGTTCCTTCTTTGCTCATCTACAGGTTTGGTCTTGGGTAGCGGAGCTCATTCCCTTACCTGCTTTTAATGCCTGCCGAGTACCTTTGTTAGCCTTAGGTGAATCGCCCCCCCCGAAGCAGGTGGTCTTGATTTCTAGATTCAAAGCTTTCCAGACTACCTGGAGCATCAACATTCCTCTTTTTGTAACAAAGAGTTACAGTCCGTCTCTAACACGTCAGCGGACTAGATTTCCTGAGCCCCTGTTGTTTCTAGATTCAAAGCTTTCCAGACTACCTGGAGCATCAACATTCCTCTTTGTTAAAGAGTTACAGTCTGTCTCTAACACGTCAGTGGACTAGATTTCCTGAGCCCCTGTTGGTATCGGAGGGTACCGCTTTCCACCTGCAGCCCCACAGACTCAGCCAACACGCTGCGTACTCACCTTCGGTTCTCACAACCGTTACAAACGTTCCCATAAAGCCCGTCTGTTTTCCAGCCATTGAAAGAACCTGAATTCTAGATTTGACACAGTCCACGGGATACACAGCAATCCACAGGCAGCTGCCTCCAAAACCTCCGCTCAGTAGCAAAGGAATGGGACCTAAAATTAAGGAATAAGCTGTTATACATACCACATGATGTTCCCCAACGTAAATACCACGTCATTTCATCTACAGAAGTCTAAGAGGATGCAGAGGAACCCACTTACAACAAAAGAGCAGTTTCTGCTCCCTCGCAGACCTTGAAGTTAATTTTAAGCCCCGGTACGTTGCAAGTCCAGCCAGAGCTCAAAGGTTACGAGGAGCGACTCTTCCATCAGTGGCCACGCTAGAAAAGCCTAACTTGGAGCTCTGTTCTGACCATATTAACTAAATTAACTCCACTCCTTTCACACTTGTAACCACTTTCCAAGGCTAATTGTGTTGTGGTTTAGAGTACCACCACCTACTGTCACTTATCACCTACACAAAGATTTGTTTGGTGCAGTGAAGCTACTTTGCAATGGATCATTTTTCACAACCCAACCTCATTTTGTGTTTTAGATCAGATGTTCGTAAACATGTTGCAACAAGAGGGACCAGAAGGCATGCAGCTGAAGTCCCAGCAGGACAAAAAGTATTACTCTTCAGTCTTCCCACAGGAGACAAGCAGTCTTTCTGGCACCTCCTCACTTTTTCATGTCTGATTCAGTCTCAGTGTTCTCTCACTATCACTGTAATGACATCTAACGGTCAGCACACACTTAGACTCATTCTTCAAGAGAATACAGCTAGAGACTTGATAATTGCTGTAAACAGCTGCTGCAATGAAACAGTTGAGAGTTGTGTTACACTGTAGGGTCATGTATTTAAGTAGTTTTGTAGTACTACTGTTAGCTCACTATTTATTCTCCATCTATAATACACCCTGGCCCACTGGAAAGCAGTCACTTCCATAATTCACTACTATATATACACAAAATCCATACATCCCTGTTTTTCTATGTCCAGTTTCCTTAATTTTACAACTGCTGTGTATCATTAACATATCTTCAGGAAAGGTATGCCCCATCCTCCCTTATGTCCCCCATGACAGCATGCTAAAATCCACCTGGAAAAAGCAGCACTATACCTAATTCATCTTTTGATCTCCCAGAGGCGAAGAATGTCCGGCTCAGTTCATACCCTCCGAAGAAGAAGAAATAACCTGGGACTTCCCGCAGCAAAGTGCTTGACAGACCACGGTAAAATCCCAGGGGACCATCCTTTTGAATAACACCCTTCACTACTGACCAAACTGTGCTGAGAGAGAGGTTGAACCAGTTAGTGATGCTTAACAGTCAGATAATGAGAAAGTTACAAAGCAATAGGCAACTGCAGTGACAATTAAGGGTTGGACTCATTGTGTAGTCAATAGAATTCAAGTAGGACTTTGTGCTGGATTCAGTCAGGAA